GGAAGCCAGCGACACAGAAGACGGCTTTCTCACCTTGTTCATCTCGATGCCCTCGTGCCTGTCAATAATGCCTCTTGAGCAAAGGAAGGAGAGGTGTTTCAGGGACTTCGCGATCACGGTCTGGATCGCCTGCCTGGTCTTCAAGGCAATGACGACGTCACGCCCCTCGTGCTCTATGAGTCCTGGCGCGAGCAAAACTCAGTGAGCAAGCCACGCAGTGACCACGGTCACTAATATTTGTATAACAGCCTGTGATCTCCAGAGCAGTTACACAATAGCCTTTCATCCCTGTTTCATACAGAATTGGTGAGGCCTGGAGAACCAGCATTATTATTATTTTGTTTAATTGTCACCCGAGGATATTTTTTCCCGTTGCTTCTCAGAGAGAGTGGAAGGGAGGGAGAGAGAGAGAAGCATCGATGGGAGAGAGACGCACCAACCGGCTGCCTCCCGCACACGCCCGACAGGGCTGGGGATCGGGCCTGCGACCGAGGTACGTGCCCTTGGCCCGGAATCGAACCAGGGACCCTTCGATTTGCGGGCTGGGGCTCTAACCACTGAGCAAAACCAGCCAGGGCAGGATCAGCATTATTTTCATCTCCATTTTAGGGATGAGAAAACTGAAAAAGGTCCTTCCCCTCCAGCGAGGAGGAAACCACTCTCTGCCTTGCTCCCATGGCACTCCCGCCTGGCTCTGTTATGAAACTCATTTCATTGCAGTAGTATTATTTTTATTATGTTGTCTCATTCTCTATGTATAATTTTACATAAATTATATCATTTTTGTTGGATAGCTGAATAAATGACTTGATCAAAGGGCCCCTGGAATTTGGCTGGTGGGTCCTTCTGAGATCAAATCCCACATTTTTTCGATTTTCATGAGCATGAGGAGTCAAGGCTAAAACTGCATCTGTTCCATCTTTGTAACCCTAACACACAGCACAATGCCTGGCACCTGGGAGGTACTCGAGTCATTCTTTTAACTGAAATGAGCAGACCAGTAAAATGAAGACTGCAATGATCAAGAGCAGGTTCTAGTGTCAGACACGCCTGGGCCGGAGGTCTAGCTCACCACTCAGCAGCCCTATGCCCCTATCCAGGCTCTGCACTGTTTGCATACATGGCCCATCATATGTGTACAATAAATCCTCGTTGGATGAGTAAATGGGTGATTGCAGGATTGAAGGAAAACATGAACTTGTCTTCTTTTGGTTAAATTATGGGATGGTGGGTCCTTGAGCAAATTAAGCCTGAAACATTGCTGGAGGCAAAAATGACAAAACTGAAGCTGTCCTACTTCGGGCACATTAGGAGAAGGCAGGGTTCTTTGGAAAAGACAGTAATGCTGGGGAAAACAGAAGGCAGCAGGAAAAGATAAGAGCAAATATGCAATGGGAGGACTCCGTAAAAGAAGCCATAGACATGAGTCTACAGGAGCCGAAAAGGGTTGTTGAGGACGGGACATTGTGGACATCACTCATGCACAGGGTCACCAGGAGTCAGAGGCAACTCAATGGCATGTAACATACACAAGGTGTGATTTCAGGAAATCAGATACTCTAACAACCTACCTAGTTCTTTGACAGCATCTCGTTTGTTGGTTTCCAAAATTTCATATAATTTCTGTAAAAAGTTAGGAAGAACATTAATTCTTTCTAATACCAAGTACATTTCTGACTTGAAAATCTGAGGGGGAAAGGGCAGTAATAGGAATCTCATTTAGTTTATGATTTGGGGGAGATACTTGGCTCAGTTCCACCCTCTGTGCGATTCTGCTGCCTTCCCTGTGCTCACACTTATGTTACAATGAATGTTGTGCAGTCAGTAGCCTGCATAACTACTGTGCCTAATATTTCCCTGAAAAGACTAGTGTGCACTGAGTGTGCAACCAGGAGAATTCTCAGAGATAGAGCCCCATTCAGGGGAGTCAAATGAGCAGCTGTTTGGGGAGCCAGTCTATTGGGAGCAATAAATAGTTCATGCTTCCTACTGATAATTCCTGACATAGCTGAAGAAATGACTCCACCCCAGGACTCACCGATCTCTGTTCAATCATACAGTAGGTGTCTGTCAAATGTCCCAAGCACTCCTCTTCATGGGGCTACTCTCCGGCTTTGCGTTTTCCTGGAGCTTGCACCTGGCCACAACCAAAACCCCTGCGACCTAACGACTGAAGTTTCCTCAGGCTGCCAGGTACAGGTGGCTGGAATTCTGCACCCGTGCAATGCGTGGCATAGTGCTGTTTGCAGACAACAACTTGTTTGTTGTCTCAAGTTTAAGCAGTTAAGTTTCTGTTGTTGTTTTGGGTTTAGAAAAACATGTAATAAATCCCTCGTCTTGAATACAAGAGCGAGCTACACAATTTTTGTTACGTTTTTCTCCTCTCTTGATAACGCTGAATCAATACTGGGAAGGTGTCAAACTACTGGCCTGTCCACGGCAGCCACAGACTGCGGTCCAGCCCTGCTTGTGTAAGTGCACAGAGAGCGGCTAAGCCCCCTTCACACCGAATGGGCCCCACAGCAAACTGTAAGATGCTGTAGACCGACCCTGCCCAAGAGAGAATGTAACTGAGAGTCTGGACACGTATGTGACTTCTCTAAAGGTGAGTGGCCACTGCCTGGTTTCTTGAACACCTAAGTGGTTGGGTTTTGTTGTTTGTTTTTTGGTGTTTTCATGTGCTTTTTTTTTCCCAAAGGACCACTGCTCGTCTCCTACCTGATATATTGATTCTCGGCCAGAAATCTGTTTTATCAACAATGTGGCATCCTCTTGACTTTTGACATAGCCTTTGGTGATACTGTACATCAAGCTGAGGCGCCTCTTGATTTGCACATCCGCAACGTTGATCAGCATTGGGATTAATATCTGCAATGATGGAGAGGGGAAAACCTGAAAACGTGACGAGAAGGAGTTCCCAAAGTGTCGTCTCCAGACCGACCCGAGTATCACCCGGAGGCTTGTTAGAAACGCAGATTCTCAGGGCCCACTCCAGACCTGCTGAACCAGGGACTTCGGGGATGGGCCTGGGAATGGGTGTTTTAACAAGTTCTTCAGGTCTCAAGTTTGAAGGCCACTCTCTAAAGAAATGAAAGCTCAGTGAATTACTAGCTCTGCAGCTGTGAGGGGGACTTTCCCACCATTCTCCATACCTCCAGGTTTCAGGAGACAAGAGAGGTGGTCCCGTAACCTGAGTGACAGTTACCAACTGAATCAATCATCTCTGTACCAAAGTTTTTTTATGTATATGATAAGGAACTTAGGGTATCAAAGAGCCTTCTTAGCACTAAGTTTCTTGAATCATAAGCTGAGACAAGAGAGGGCAGTGACTGAAGAGAGTGGGATTTTAAATACAAACCTTCCTAGGTTCAAATACAGTCTCTCCTACTCACTGTCTCTGTGACTTTAAGCCAGTTATGTAGTGACCTTGAGGGCTCAGTGTCCTCATCTGTAAAATGAGGATAATAACAGCTAAGTGCCAGAATTCCAATGGAGCTGCCCCTCACGGCAGTGCGGTCAGTCACAGAGGCAGAGGTGGGGCAGAGCACAGGGTCGCTGGTGATACACCAGGTAACACGGGAGGAAGGTATAGACTTAAAAAGGAATTACAAGAGCAGAGAAAGGAGAGATGTTTTTAGCTGCTATTTTGGTTGTAAAACTTTGGACAGAGGGAGAGACCTTAAAGAGGATATTTACAAGTTTTATTCCATGATGCCCCGATAAGCACCCCCCACCCCCAAGCTGTTCCTAAGAGGATCTAAATTTTTTTAAATCTCCAATATTTTTCCAAACTCTCCAATACAGATGTGTTTCTTTGGAAAGCACCCAACTAACTTGATACAGTGGCAACATCTACTTCATAGGGCTATTGTAATAATTTAATTACATAATGTACTATGCTCCTGGAACATAGTAAGTGCTCCATAAAATAAGCTAACCGCTATTATATTAACTATATTAATTCCTTAAATATACTTCACTGAGATTTGTCAGAGTTTGCTGGACAGAAGTGGTAACTGGTTCATACTCTAAACTGAGTTCATTTCCACAATAATACATTTTTAAATCTTTACGTCACTCAGAGAGACTTTTCACAAAGTATTGCTTCTAAAATAACTATTTTCTATTCATCTGCATAAGATCTCTTTACCTAAGACAGCTTCCACCTTCATTTCAAAACCTAGCCACATTTCTGGTTACTAGATAGTTTGCATTTTGGCAGGGTTATATCTTATGTGAGCACTCAGCTCCAATCTCAGCTCATAAGGCAAAAACAATAAATAATCAAAATTACCTCTTTCGCAGATTTAGTGCACACAACTCTCTCTGTACAGTAGCTCTAAATTTCTTATGAACACTGATGTTTGGTAACATTAATGCAGAATCAAGGAAGGAACAAAAAAGAGTGTCCATGAGCTCAAGCCTGGGTATTTAAACAACTCTGCCTCTAAGATAACTATTCCATTTCTTGGACAGTGGGGACCAGATGGGGGATTCTGATGTATACCTTTTGCCATCAGGGTTTACAACAACTTTTTAAAAACTATTTAGCTTCTATAACTTTATTTGATATAATAAGAATTCAACAACTCCAAAAAAATAAAAATAAAAATGGAGGGGCTAGTGAAAACATCTGAAGCTCCTGAGTTAAAAGCTTATATAATGCAACTCCGCTGGAGAGAGAGAAAGGAGGCTTAAGAGTGGAAACTGAAAATCTACCTTCAGAGTCCAAACCAGAGGCACAGAAAGAAGGAAGAGTCATTGTGGGGGAGCTAGAGGCCGCGGTAAAATTAAATTCCATGGGGAGCAGGCTATGTGAGGGTGGGCCGTAGAGAAATATTTGTACATCTTTGCACAGTTAAGGCTTTATAAGCAAATTTTACTAAAACTTGAAGAACTTGGTGGTTCCACCCTGCTTCAAATGGAACACAAATCTTCATTCATTCGCTCAACAACTCTTGATTCAGTACTTCCTATGTGCTATATGCGTCGTTCTAGAGCTATAGGGTTGTATCAAGGACAAAAGCAAGACTGCTACCTGACAAAGAGCACGTTGGGCCCACAGGAAAAGGGGATGTCGCGTGGGGGGAACAGGCTTCCGCAGCTGGGCAGGGAAGGCCTCCCTGTGACAGAGGGAGCTGAGCAGGGGCTCGAAGGAGGCGCAAGAGCGGCCAAGCAGAGAGCCGCAGAGAGCGCGTTCCGGGGGAGAGGCAGCTCCTGCCCTCGCTTATTTCAACACGGCGAGGTTTCTTAACAGTGTAAAAAAAAAGTGAAGTTTTACCTTGAGGAGAGGAACAAATCTAATTATCCTTAAATACCCCAGTATGACTGTGATCTGGATAAGAAGGAGGTTGTCCGACCTCAGTTTCACCAGGTAGATACAAAAGACATCAATAATTCCCATGACCAGGATGATAAACTCCAGAGTATTCCAGTGTTGATGAAAATACTTCCTTTTCAAAATGATTATCTGTTTAGAAGGCAAACGGAACGTGTGTCATCTCGTAGCACCTTTACAACGATGCGGGGCGAGGGGAAGGTGGGTCTTAAAAATTAACAGTGATATCCTCAACTGCAAATGCGTTCCAGCCCAAAAGGTGGGTTTTAAGGTACTCATTTGGGATTCCAAAAAATTATTTTTAATTTCCAATATCAAAAATCATAATTTAATTCAAAATATAGTATTCTCTAATGAATCTGAAATGCTAAAAATGAACCATGAAAAATAGCCGTAAACAGGTTACTTGCAATACTATTAATAATAATTGAAGTATGAAAAGTTATTTTGATAAATCTCATCTTTTGAAATAAAACGTAGCTCTCATATCACAATGAGCACCTAGCAAAACAGTTTGTTTGTATTCACTTATTTATTTTTTGCATCATTATGAAGAGAAACTGAGGGAAACATCCTGTCTGAATTTTCAACTCTCGTTATTTGATCTTTGAAAGTCTCTCCACTTTTATGATAGTTACCATATCTGATATCCAAAACTGTGACTTTTTTAAAGAAATTGTTGTTTTATTTATTTTTAATATATCTTTATTGTTTTCAGAGAGAGGAAGAGAGATAGAAACATCAAGGATGAGAGAATCATTGATCAGCTGCCTTCTGCATGCCTCCCAAACTGTGACTGTTAAACCCAGAAAATTAGAAAAGATAACTAAAAATTCTAGAATTCTATCAACTGTTAGAGCAAGTGGCTTCTAGCATCAAGTTATTTCAAAAATATGACAAAAATAAATTTACAGTATCTGAATTGTTCTCTTTATAGGATACATTTCTATTTAAAGCAATACCTTCAATGCTGACATCATGACATATAAAAATAGAAAATAGTAGTCTACTAATAGTAGAGATAACTCATTTAACTTTCTTGCCATTGGCCATAGATGAATTAACATAGGATAAATGTATATTACTGATATAATATGTCCTGTATATTCAAATTCTTCTGAAAATACAATGTGATATATAAATATCAGAAATGCATTATTCCTGAAAAAAAGAGATCAAGAAAAATGTCAGGTCACTTTAAAAGTACAACAAGGTATCAAGTTCAACATCTGTTTAAACAAATCACTAACAGTAATTTGAAGAAAGTGTAAATAATATAAAACAATTGATAAGCAAAAATCTAAAACACTTTCTATATATAAAAATCATGGTAGAGAAATAAAAATTTGGCTCTTGTTAATCTATATCAGGAATATGAAGTATTTTTTAAAATCAAGGCGATAGTACATAGGAAACAATGCAAAGATTTCTACATTGAAAGCAAGAAACAAATTTAGAGAAAAATAATTAGCATTGTTTAAAATTAAGAACAGGAAAAAATATCCTATTCAATAGTTACCATTACGTATTTTTAAAAATTTTTTCAATCCATCTAAAGTGGAGCCTAACAAAAGGAGGTTCACTGTGTATATGTCAAGACCCTGGGGGTTTAATTTTTTATATTTCTCTTTAAACCTAAATAAATGAAAAAAATTATCAAAATTTGTTATGAAAGGTATGTTAACATCCCACTTAAAATTTAGTAGTGTCACCCTGGCCAGTGTGGCTCAGTGGCAAAGCATCAGCCTACACACCAGAGGGTTGCAGGTTTGTTTCTGGACAAAGGCACTAAACTGGGTTGCAGGCTTGTTTCTGGACAAAGGCACTAAACTGGGTTGCAGGTTTGTTTCTGGACAAAGGCACTAAACTGGGTTGCAGGTTTGTTTCTGGACAAAGGCACTAAACTGGGTTGCAGGTTTGTTTCTGGACTTGGTTCCCTGGCCCAGGTCAGGGTGCATTCAGGAGGCAACCAATCAATGTGTCTCTCTCACATCGATGTTTCTCTCTCTCCCTCCCTCTCCCTCCCTTCCACTTTCTCTAAAAATCAATGGGGGGAAAAAATATCCTTGGGTGAAGAGTAACAAAAAACAAAAAAAATTAGTAGTGTCAATGCTCCTGGCATCTTCTCATTTTGACACAGGCTATTAGCAGAAAAACCTTGTCTTCTTGTTTTAACAAGTATTCCTGTTCCCAGCTTATATTACAAAGCAAAGAATCTACCCAAGTTAAGTAAAATCTCTATCTCATGATATTTTGGAAAGTTGATTATAGGTATGATTAGTGCCATGTTGTGTTTTTCCTAATTACAGGCATCAACAGAGCCACCCTATGGCACAGATGAAATTAAGTTGAGAACTTAAGTCCATGACGTAGGTATTTCTCACCCCAGGCTCGACATTACACCCAGGAGAATACCAGAAGAATATGTAAGCAACTCAGTACAAAGTATGACCCTAGACATGGCAAATACAACTTGAAGAATCCAAACCTGACCATCCTCTGCTTCTTCCTGCGCTCTGTCTTCCTAGAGAAGTCAAGGAAGCCACTGAAAAGAATGGTGAAAGGCAAGCAAGCGTTCTGCTCGGTCGCCGCTCAGAAAGTAGCGGCCCATCGTACTATTTTTGTGTTTTTTTAAATAAGAAAAACCAAGGTAATGTATTTTGACAATATAGAAAGGTCATATTTTCAAGTATATTGCTATGAAAGGTTCACAATACTTACCCATATGGAATAAAAAGTGTCTTATCTTTACGATATTCCAAGGCAGTTAAAATGTGTTTAAACTTTATAAGCCAACTTCTAGCTTTTATATAAGTTGAGACATCATGAATACTCATGAATCTAACAGAGAAAAGTAGACATATATGTTACAATAAAGAGCAAGTGCTAGCTATCCTTTGGGGTAATATAAAAGGGAAAGTGATACTAAATGTAACGTGGGTTTATCAAACATGCTCAGAACTGAGCTCCTGGATCCATCCACCTACCACTCACGGTCATGGTACAGGAACATTTTCAGCATCAGACTCCTGCTGCCTCTGTTCCTGGAACCATTCATGACCTGAGTGCAACAGAATTAAAACTTCTCCAGACCAATTCCTTGGGGTTCAGAATCAAGCTTCCTTCTGTCATGCATTGCTGGCCCAGGCCTCGCCAAGGTCCTGAAGGCCCTGGCCTTCCCAAAATTTTCCTAGGAACTCATGCTAGATCTCCCAGATAGATTACCAGGCTGCAGAAATGTTAGCTATCACCCAGACAGGATCCCCTGTCATTGTTGCCCCGCAGCTTTGTCTTGGACCATCCATCAGCTAATGTTCGCCAGGACTATGACCAGATATCAATGTATCTCTGAGATACCGAGCCTTTCCCACCAGCTTTAATTGCATTTATCACCATCATCAACTGGTTCAATTCCTCCAGAGTCTGCTCCACCTCAGGGGGCAGTCTAATAGCAGGCTCCAGGCTTCTCTGCCTCTCCTATTTAGTAATTTAGTGAATATGATATAAAGACAAAATAATTATAGTAATTGAAACTATCTGGGTTCTCTTTCATGATTCTCCTAGTCTCTAATCTAATTACATTAGATCTCCCTCCCAAATCTCCTAATGTTACCAACCTTCAGGGAAAATAATGTAAATAAGTAAAATAGGAAGTGGATGGATGGATGGATGGATGGATGGATGGATGGATGGATGGCCAGACGGACAGGTAGATGAAGATAGGTGAGATAAACAGATTGATTAATCTGGACACTTAACTCTCAGTTCATTCATTCCTTATCACATACCCATTCAATTTTGGAAATTCAATTAAATAAGTACTATACTTACTTTCCTTGCACGGGGCAATAGCTTTTGGTTGCACCAATTAGTATCCGGGCTGCCTCTGTATCGAGGATTCCATCTTGACATTGTTTTTCAAAGCTACTCTAAACATACAATTTTAAATAAAAATTACTGAAGAACAAAACATAAATGCAGTGAACTCTGCTTGACCTTTATATAGCCTTCACTATTATTATGGAACTCATTACATGAAAATATTCTTTTACCCAAAAAAAAGCTATAGCAGGAAATACATTTTATTCAATTTAAATATTTACTGAATATTCATTTTTTGCAAAGTACTGTCCCAGATGTTTTAAAAAATACAAAGGTTCAGGAAACTCAAAATCTGTATTAGTCAAAGAGCTTACTTTTGTAATATAAATAGCATTAGTGGCAGAATAGTACTGATGCAAATTATTAATTCAAGGGATAACTAATCATCTCGGCCTTGCAAAGAACTACCAAGAGATAAAAGTAAACTGTCATTTTTTAAACATTTTTTTCCAGGCTTATTAAGATATAATTGACATATAACATTGTGTAAGTTTTAGGTGTACAACATAATGATTTGATACACATGTATATTATCAAATAATTACCACAATAAGGTTAGAACACAGTTATCACCTCAATTTTAAATCTGAAATATTTTAGGAGAATTTTTGATTCACTAGATTTATTTTAACTTTTAGATTTACAAGAGTTAAATGATTACTTGAATTTTGTATAAAAGGAAAACAAACATGTTAAATTTATAAAAGCAGCCTCAAATAGTTGAGGATATTTACTTTACTAAATATGTAAATGGCACCAAGCATTATTCAGACCCCCGAAAAGTGAACTATTAAAATCCGCTAGACCTAGAAACAGAATAGTATTTGTTTCTTGAACTCTAAAGCCAAAGAGATTTTTAATTTTTAACTTTCATAAATCAAACATAAATTTAACAACCAACAGACTATCAAAAGGTGGGGGGGGGGTTCTAGTTACCTGTAAACCATATGTAAGAATTAAAAGCATCGCAAGAATAAAAACAAACTTAAAAGCAGATTCTGTGAACAGTACCCACCATTTGTATTATAGCTACATGCAGTCTGGCTTCTTCTATTAAAACTTCATCTGTCAGGGAATCCTGCTCTTTGTCACCAGGTTTGATGTGGTGAAACTGCACATCACCTGACTAAGTTTTAAAAGCATACAGAGATAAAATTAAAAATGAGTAAAAATGATTAGGCACTCAACAGAGATTTCAGTACTCAAGTCAGAATTGCTAAAATGAAGGGCCATGTGTGAGTGGATAACCTTTCCCATACAAGAAATGCTGCTTTCAATTGTGGCAAAGTATTTATTTTAGAAGTGAAATCCCCCCCCCGCCCGGGGCCCCAAACTGTCTGTGCCTGACTGCTGTCTGAAGCAGCCTGTTTCTTCTGCTTTTTATAATATTTACCTGAAGAGAGATCTCTCAGTCCCTGAACCAGTTGGAAGCATCAGCCTGGGGAGTCCATTCATAGTTACTCAACCAGCCAGTTTATGAAAACACCAATTCTCCCGTATTTGGCAAATGGGTTAGGTCACCAAGACAGAATTCAAAGAAGTCCACCAAGATAGCAAAGCTAGCAAATGTAACCGTGCCCCCGCC